GGAGTAAGGGGGCAAATTGTTTAAGTGCTCCAGACACCAGTTTTCTTGGCTCTAAGATCACGCATTGGCTTAAATGATCCCAAAGGTCCCAGCAAGCTCTTAACTCCTGTAAATCTATGTGGTTTTTTCCTAATGTTAATATGTAGACTTTTCCTTCTTTTTCATATTCTCTAAATTTTCTCAAACGTGCAATGTTTTGCTTTTTAATATAAAAGAAATCTTTAGGGGCGCCTGGGTGGCTCAGTCGGTTAAGTGTTAGACTTCAGCTCGGGTCATGATCTCACTGCCCAAGAGTTTGAGCCCCGCATCGGGCTCTGTGCTGACAGCTCAGAGTCTGGAGCCTGTTTTGGATTCTGTGTCTCCCCCTCTCTCTGCCCCTCCCATGCTCATGCTCTGTCTCTGTCTCTCAATAATAAATAAATGTTAAAAAAAATTTTTTTAAAGAAATCTTTAAAAGGAAAAAGAACAAATTGAAACATTTTGTCTTCACTCAGAACCTGGGATTCTGTGCAGAAAAAGCATTTCCATGCTGAAAAATGGACTTCTTTACCTCTTTTGTGATATGTTATCAATAACAAAGAGTGTGTGGTGTTGAACCTGATCCTGTGTTTTGTATTTTCAGCTGCAGTACCTACCCCAGCTGACTAGCAGCAGCTTCCTTCCAGCTTTGGATAATAAGAAGTACTACTGTAACTTGAAGAAACTCAACTCCCGTTTTCCAAACATTTAAGGAGCTTGAAGATGGATGATGAAAAAGGAACCGAACTTACAAACTTGATTGAAAATAATCATAATGCTTTAAGAACATCAGGAGAAAACCTAAGTAATAACCTGGGGGAGGCCAGCTGGCAGAATCGGAAGGGGAATTAGAGAGGCAGCCTTCTTCCATGCTTCCTGATGGTGACTAGAACAGAAAGGAAAAAACTTGTTTGGATTTTCACTTGCATTTTTGTTGTATCTAAGTAGCTGAGTTTATTGACAGAAATACAAATTGTAGCTGCTGCCCATATATCTGGCAAGATTAGAGATGTGATAAAGATTTATGCTTCAACTGTACTATATGCAACAAGAAAAATGGATTACAAAACACCCATACGTATTTCTTGTATCTCTTTCACATGGAGTCCTATCCCCTGCCTTTTAGTTCCTGAAATCAAAATGTTTAAAATCCCATTTCCTGCTTGCTCTATTTCTTGATTTTCCTATTTTAAAACGTTTTTGGAATATTGAAGAGTTGCTTAATATTTTTAAAAATCATGGATTATCATAACAAAATTACAAATTTAATGATATTTCTAGACATTTCTTACATATGCTTTGGTCTTTACCTTTAGTAAAGGATGCATCTTAGTCATTTTTGCAGGCAAGATGGGTTTATATAACCCATCCACAGGTTACCCAATTCCCCATGCAAACAGTGGTGTGAAGGCTGGCGGCAGACCAAGGCGATCAAGAGGTAGAACGAGCCCTGCAGGCTTCCTGGGAACTGAGCCTATCAGCCTGAGAGTAATTATTCTTCATTCTCTCCAGCTCAGCCTCAGACTTGGAGACAGATCTATGGGCAGGACTATCTACAGTAATCTGGGATTTGGAAGAAATTGCTTGAGTTTTTACTTGGATCATGAAAGACGTGAGGTTGTAAACTCCTATTTTTCCTGAAATACTTTTTTATGCTATCTGTATGTATATGTGTATACATATGCATATGTGTCTGTACACATATAAGTGTGTGTATACATATACTATGCTAAGAACTGATAAAAATAATAACAGAGTAGTCCAAATTGATACTGAAGATTCCTAGCTTTGTATTGTGAGACTTGAAATGATGACCTATAATTAGCTTTGACGCGGGCTACCACTCTTCAAAAAGCTTCATCACTCCTGTCCCCTGAACACAGGGTAAAATGAAGCTCATGTCTGTTTCTTATAGCTGACTGCCAGTTTTGGCTGATGGGCTGCTGCTGTGTCCTAGTCATTCTCAGCCATAGTTTTAGATGTTGTATTTTACGGTATCTTCAGAACATTTCTTCTGTACTCTTACTAGTTTACTGCTATAGTAACTTCCTTCATGACAGCATATGACTTTATTCTTTACTGCTAAGTAACTCACCAAATTTAGGCATCTGTTCAATAATTTTGGCCACTCCAGCCAGGTTAATGATATTCTAAGGCTTCCTGATGTATGTGGCTTCTTGCAAGGAGCTGACAGTGGGTTAAATACTAGTCTCGGCATTATCTGATTCTTCTTATGTGGCTTTGATTCAAATGGCAAAGAAGGACAGCCCACTTCTGTGAAGAGTTTACATTTTGTGTTTTTCTTTTTAACCCAAAACAATGTACTTGACGAGGCAGATGATTATAACTGCCTAATTTATCCAGTAGTTTTATAGAAAACCATTTAGAATACAAAAGTAGTTGCAGACTAAATTGTGGTGAATCAGTTGCCTCACCACACAATAAGCAAACAAATCTGAGATGGAAGCATTCATTTTTTTCTAATGAGTTCTAAATGTGCACTAATGCTTAATTCAACCATATCTGTAATCATTCATTCAGCATGGAGTCACTATTGTTTCACATAAGACTGTTTTACAACCTAGTCTTTTTAATTTGTTATTTTCTGATTTTGTAAATGACAGTGGCAATTATTCGTAAATAGTATGTCATTTGTGGTATGTGCTATTTACATAAGCTGGTTTCTAAACACAATTAAAATCCACTTTTTCTACCCCAATGCTGCATCATACAGTGTTTATTTTAAAATTATTTCCAGCTAAGGTTCTATTCAAGACCGTATAGTTTATGTTCAAGAACCAGACATACAGAAATCTACAGACAAGTTGGCCTATAATTAACAATAATAGAACCAGGGCCATTTCAAGCAGGTAAAATTAAAGATCTGTTTTTACCTATTTGTGATATTCTTTATCACTGCTTTCTAGATA